AACAATGGCACGCTATGGCCATCTGACCGTGCATGCGCTGGTGACGATACCCACGACGCTTTAACAAGAAAAACAGTAAATAATAGCAGTCTGTACATACATTTTTTTTTATTTTTACTTCTTTTTTTTTTCTATACTTTATTGTACACTTTTGTCAAGATCCTAATAAGGATACGATTACAATAAAGATTATTATTTATTTACATGGACCCAATGATACAAACAATACAACTGCAGAAATATACATATTGAAATGTACGGAATCTGGTTGATGTCCGATAAATACTCTTGGCACAACAAAGGCGGAATGCATCACGTTTTATAAATTTCAATAGCAGTTGAATCAAACCACCCAATCAACGAGCACAATGACAAGGTTTCCTGGAGTTTAGCTAGCGCATATAAGGAGGATAAAGTTCAGACGTAATGTAATTAATCAACCGGTTTTGTTTTTGTAATTTTACAGATGCGTGCTGAGGAACTTGAAAAGTGAATGAAAACCTAATTCTGACGACCATGCTTGTCCGCAAATATTAATCGCAAAATAATTCAATTTATATCCAAATTTATATTATATTAAAAATTATATTAAAGTAATAGTTTAGTGTAAATTACGTTGTCGAATTTGTATTTCTTATGAAATGTGTGTGAACGCGATTTCAGGCGTTAGATTCGTAATGTTCAAAAAACAGCAATTTGAGTCGTATGGGTAACGTGGCTGGGAAAGTCCTCAGCAAAGTACAACAGCCCTGATCAAATTTGACCCCCATCTTTACAGCCATGTGCGCATATTGTTTCCCCCCCCCAAAAAAAAGTGCTAGGTATTCAGTAACCTGATGTAGGCGTTCAACCTATATAATAATCGCAAATACCTCGATGGAGACTAACAAATATTGACTCGAAGATTGTACACATGAATAACATTCACAACATGCTCAATTATGAAGAGCCCTGGACTTTGTTCAAAAACCCACGTTTTAAAAACAAGCACGACTTTCACATTCCCCCATCATTTGGAACCCATATATTTTACTTAAATAGCGGGGGGCGTGTCGCATCACGACTTTTATGTTGATAAAAATTGATTTTCCCACAATCCAATGCGCTCCTCTAATGACAAGTTACGAGGGTTGACAAACGTGCGCCAATCATTAGATACCTTCCAGTCACCAAAAATGTTCAGTTAAAGTAGAAACCTACTCGTATTGACTTTAAAAAAACAGTAACTCTGTGTCCATGCGTGGATTTAGGGGAGGTGCGCCAGTCCCCCCCCCCTTCAGCCAGCAAAAAAATTTACAAACCAATAGGAACGCGCCCCTTACCGAATTGCTGGGTCCGCCAGTGATGTTCATAACTCGAATAATTCAGCATTTGTACTATGAATGTTAGATTGCCAAAGTCGGGACTTCTTTTTTGTTTTACAAAAAGAAATAATTATTGTTTTAGTCCTTTTTAGCGTGATCGCGAAAACTAACCTGACCGCTAAAGAAATCCCGACTGGACACATCCTCGAGGTATGTGCGAGACTCGAAATCGGTACTCTGCGCCACCGGAATGAGCATTGTGCCCCACATGGTTGCGCCACCATTCTGCGCCATAGAGAAAATTCATACTGTGCCCAATTCTGGGTTCAAAATGATTGATTTTTCAATACTGTTTATCAACGCAATCGGGATGGTTTTATGTGAAATACTGTTATAACATTTGTAGGGGCATCGAAAAGTACAAAATTATTGAAAACTAACAAATCATTCTGCTCTCATTATTAGTGTACGAACTATTTTTGTATTCAAGAACGCAATCTAGGTCAATTGTAACTAAGTTTAAACAATGTTTCTATTTTTGATCTATTAATTTTACGGTCCTTTTTTATCGAAATTGCCCACTAGTTGAGTTGTCATTCTGCGCCATCAATGTAATGTTGTTTCATATGACGCAATCTCGGTCTACCATCATGTCTACCGGCCACTTTTGTATTTCGTCATGGGATTTTATGAAGTTCCGATTCCAACAAAATCCAACTCCACCACACTTGCGTGTCTTTGCACTGTCTAGTATTTTACAAAAACAGACGTGCTCATAGCTTCACATACACTCAACTGTAATTCGCACGGCTTCATACTCATAGCCACGCGATGAGTGCAACCCAACAAAACGAGCAAAATTAAAATTCTCAAGATGGTAAATGTAATTGCTTTGTCAGTTATTGATGTTGGTTTGCTTGTGAAGCGATAAACAAAATTGTAGCTCCCTGGTTTGCTACAATAAAAATTGTTTTGAAACATTCCTGAGCATCCAGACTTCAAGTCGCCGAAGCTACTGCCACTTACGTTCACTTCATAGCGAGAGTATTATTTACGTTCAAAAAATGATTTTTTCTTTATTTATGGAATGTACTCTAAACTTTCAAATGCCGAAGTCGAAATAACATCGAATGTCATGCAAGTTGGTTAATTTTGCAGCGCAACCTCACTAGTACCTACAAAAATAAGCAACCCAAGTTT